AGGAATTTTCAGAGCTGATCTAAGGAGCTAAGGACATTTAGGTTATATTTTCAAAATATGGGCATTTGTGCCCATAGTTTAGGAAGATTCCTCTTGGAGAGTATTCAGAGCTGTGCAGATTCTATACAGGTATCATTCTTTTGAATATTCTTATCCTAGTGCACCAGGTTCCTCCACACAAGTGTTGTGGTTTAGACCTGTTTGCTTTAGTTTCAGCCAAAATTCACAATTGCATGCTGTACCCAGTGCTCTTAAAATGTGCACTGTATACATTTTTCTAGAATTAGTGTTACATTGTTTAGTGTCGTCTATTTGGATTCTCTTATATTTCAAAGAAATATAGTAGTACCTTTGAACATTGCGAAGTGTTTCATGTTTTTTTATAAGTATGTCAGTGCCATTGTTATTGATTGGATTGTGAGGGAATTTTTTATTGAAAACCCTTTGGTATCATTTTTAAAAATTATGTTTGTTCCTGGTACTGGTTTAAGAAACTTAGTTTTAAAAGCTTTTTCAATTGCAAGTTGACTTTTCTATTCTTGTTTCATTTTCTGTGTTAGACTCTTCCATTTACAGAAATTTTGCTACTTCTGTTATTGTAACATTAATACTTTTTATATTTTTTGTTTCCAGCCTTTATTTTTGCTTTAAACTAGTATGAAGAGTGTTAGTGGAAGCAATAAAGGTGTTTTTGGACTCTTGATTTTTAGTGCTCCGGAATATAGAAGTTAGCATTGGACCTGATTTCTCCATTCTTTATTCCTATTGATGCAAGGCAAGTGGTACCTGTTGCATATACCTGCAGTACTATCTATAAGAGAGCTTTGTAATTGTTTATCCTGGCAGTGTGCTTCTTGGATACAAGGTTTATTTTAGAATATAAAACAAAGTGCTGAGTCATGAATAGGCTTATTAAAAATAACAAGCCCGTATGTAGTTTTTCATGGTAAAATCTGAAGACTATACTGCTAAACACAGGCCATCTCCAGTTGTAGTCACCACGGCTGAGTTTCCTTTTTTTTTTTTTTTTTTTCTTTTTGTCTTTTTCGTGACCGGCAACGGATCGCAACCCTCAGTGTCGCGCCCGTACCGGACCGGGACCGGCAACGGGATCGCAACCCTCGGTGTTGCGCCTGCACCTCGCTCAGCCAGTGAGCGGCCGGTCTGTATGTGGGATCCGAACCCTCGGCGGGAGCGCCGCCGCACTTCCCAAGCGGTGCACTGTAGCAGTGCGCCACCGGGCCGGCCCATGGCTGAGTTTCCTGATGGTTGCCTTTTAATAAGAAATTTTGCTGTGGAAAATATTGGACATTCACATATCAAGATATGTTGACTCTGAGACCATTCAATCTTTGTTGTCTTTAGTGTCATCCTTTTTTTTTGTAGAATTCTGGAATTAGAAGGTAGCCAACTTCTTTCTTTTCAGATGGGACGGTACCCATTTAGAAAGTAACCTGAGAAAGCAGGTTCTATAACTGCTGTCTGTTATCTTGCCCCAGTTTTTAAATCCAGCCAGGAAATTCTGGGGAATTTAATAGCACTAAAAGTTTTGTTTTCTGCCACATTGAAGAATGGGTGATATTCTGCTTAGTCAGCATTCTGCCCAACTAAACATGAAATATTTGCAAGTCAGTGTTCTCTTGTCTGAAACTCACTCTCCACCTAGCTTTCCTAGTGCCACAGTGTAGATATTCTTTAGAATGGCAGTATACTGGTGTCCTTCAAAAGTTCATGGAAAAATAGAATTAGAAGATTGTATAAATCTTGCCATGAACTTTTTGAAGTACCCTGGTATAAGTAAAAGGGATACTGATCCCCTGTTCATGTTCCTACATGCATATCAAGACCCAAAGACATTTTTCTATGTATGGCAATACACTGCAGAGACCAGTGGAACTACCTAAAAGAGCTGTTAGTTTTGAGAATACATTATTTGTTGTTTGGAACAACAGTATTGATGTTTGATAGTTTTCCAGCTCTTAGAACTGCTCATTAGAAGTTCAGCAGGTAGGAACTGTATATGTAATATTTAAAATGAGCCTTCTTATATTCCAATACAGCAAGACTTGTTCAGAAATTTTACCTAAAGCATTGGTCTGTATTGCATAGGCCTTAGTTGCTAGGTTAAATATTTATGTTAGAGGCTATTTGAAATGCTTATGTCTTTAACTTTCTGGTTAAGTAGTGTTTTTTACAGTGAGTGTGTTGTCTCAGTAAAATATAGTAGATTTCTCACACCATGCTGCTTGGTTGAAATTTCCAGAGCTCTTAAACCACATCTGTTTCTTCTGTTTAATCTAGGTTAAATCAGTGTCTACCAGGTAGTTGTTTGGATAGTTCTGCCTGAGGCAGGTGATATTTTTTATGGTGTTACTGGCTGCTGGAAACTTACCTGATGATAGTTACTCATCTAACAGTAGTGTCTATTGCATGTCACATCAAAATTTGACCTTTTACATTGCTTCACCTACTTTATTCACTTTTCTCATTTCCCAAGTGTTTACTTTCTAGCTGATATATTATTTCTTTCTATTTCTCTAAACCTTTTTATCCTGCCTTCCTTTATCCTCAACCCTGAGAGATTATAAGAATTCCCAATGGTTTGCCTTGACGGACAGGATTGGCTGAATACGAAAACAAACTTTTGATGATTCTGTTGACCACAGAGGCCTGTGCCCCCTCTTTACTGCACTCTACTTTGTACACTATTAACTTGCCTAGCAATTTTTTCCCCCTCACAGGCAATTAAAAATGAATTTTCACTTAGCTTTGTATGAATTATTACCCAATTCAGAATGGGTGGAGTCTGAATTCATGAATTTTAAGAAGTTTATAATATACCAAATAAGGTACAGTAAGATGGTTGGTGGAAATCCATCCGTACAGTGTGGATGGCTTGAGTGTCACTGTCATGGTAACTTGCCTTAGGTGTGGCGCCCAGCCTCTGTGTGCGTGTGCTTTTTCCTCCTTGGCCCTGGCTATTTCTGCCTCGCTCCCCCTCCTCTCCTTGTCTTTGAGAATGTCAGGTTATGTAGGTTGGAGGCCTTGAATACGTCCTCTTCTGCTCTTTATGGACCACAGAATTAGTGAGAAAGGAAGGATTAATTTGTCATTTGGCTTAGGGTAAACATTTGTTTATCGTAAAATTTGGTTAGGCTTCATATGATTCTCTCAAGTTTATTAGCTGAGAAATCTTATGGATGTCAGAGTAGCTGGTAGTCATCTATAATTCCAGTCCTATCAGTAGAGAAATAAATTACACAATCAAATATAAATCTATTTTTACAATAATAAGATATAATAGTTTACTTTAAGTCCAGAAAGGTTGAGGGAGTAAGGTATTTTGGTTAAATAAAAATTGGAAATAGTCTAAGGTTTAGAGTAAATAATGAGTAAAACTGTATTGATCCCTTTGGCATTTGCTTTATCTAAGGAATTGTTATGAATGTTCGGGGACCGTGGTGAGACAGGATGGCATCTGGTAACTTCACAGTCTTTTAATGAAGGAAAGTAGAGCATGTAAGTGATGGAATAAGGTTCTGGTTTTTCTTAGCTTTCTCATTGCTTGGGTTACCCACACTTTAAAAAAATGCTTCAATTAGGAAATGGTTGTTTGTTTTGTAAAAGGATTCATAAGACTTATTTAATATAATAGCCTTTTTCAGTACATTTTTCATCTTAAAGTCAGTTATTTGACATCATTTTGATTAGCAGTCTGAGATACTTAAAACTGTGTTGTCTACTTCCAATTGAAGGTCCAATAGAAATAAAGTTTCTCAGAAATGACACTGTCACTGTTTCCCTTAGCATTTTGTTTTCCAAAATTTGATTTATCTACAATGTTCTAGGCACCTAGCCATTATTTGTGGCACTTCTTGTCAGTGGGTTTTTCCAAGCTATGTAATGTGATCATTGTAAGGAACAATGTTAGTATTCATTGTGAATTGATCTGCTATTTATGAAACTATTCAAAAGTACAGTCTTAGGTATTACTGTCAAATCAATGGCATATTTTGTGATTAGTCAAGTAAAATGACATTTGATTTGATATTTTTAACATTAAAAATTGTGATGTATCTTTAAAAAAAAAAGGCCAGCTCGTGGCTCACTTGGGAGAGCGTGGTGCTGACAACATCAAGTCAAGGGTTAAGATCCCCTTACTGGTCATCTTTAAAGAAAAAAAATTACTTGATGTATTGGATTTAGGATTAACTTTTTTTTTTTTTGGCAGCTGGCCAGTGTGGGGATCCGAATCTGTGACCTTGGTGTTACCAGCTTCATGTTCTCTCGAGTGAGCTAGCCAGCCAGCCCCAAGGATTAACTTTCAAACTACAAAATGGTTTTCTTTAAATAATTCATTGGGGATATAGAAGGAAGAACATTTACAAGGTGTGGAGGAACCTTCCCCTAAGACTCCTCCATATCCTACAGATTTTTTTTATAAGTCTAAATTGGATTCTTTGCAGAAATTGATCAGCTCAATAAATTTTATTATATGCCCCTTAAACACAATTGAAAAGAATTGCAGGTGTGAAGAGCTGAGCACTTATTTTACATGAAATGATGGAAAAATTTAATCTTCAAGTCTGAAATATTTTGTGAGTTCTTGTGAAACTGTATATGATTGCTTTTATTTGCTTAATGTTGAGATCTATATTTGATTCACTTAATATTGCATCAATGAATAAACTTCTGGTGATTGAATGGAATGCTGCATTTAGAGAAGCAGTGTTGTTTTCAGTTTTTTTCCTCCATCTGAACCTTTTTGTAGTACTTCAGACTTGCATTTAACCTGCCTTTGAGTTCTTGAAGGCAGAGGGGTAGTGGTCATTTCACACCTGCTCTGTAATGTTTAATAGACATAGATAAAACTGTCAGTTGTACATCGGCTGTCTTTCAGGCAAGTGTTATTTCGTGCTCGCTGAACCTTCTAAAAGGATCTGGGTTGGCCCAAGGTTCTGTGCATTATACTTTTCTAATCCGAGTCTGTTTATTTCTAGGAATATACACACTTGTGCCTAAAATGGAAGTAGATATTAATGGAGAGTCCAGAAGTACCCTGAGCAACCTGCCCTTCCCCGTGGCCGAGGCGAGCTCCCCTGGAAAGGCAGAGGCAGAGAAGCCCCGCTGCTCCAGCACGCCCTGCTCACCGATGCGGCGGACTGTGTCGGGCTACCAGATCCTCCACATGGACTCTAACTATTTGGTCGGCTTCACAACTGGTGAGGAACTCTTGAAATTAGCCCAGAAGTGCACAGGAGGTGAAGAGAGCAAGGGAGAATCCGTTCCTTCTTTGCGCTCTAAACAGCTGGATGCAGGACTTGCCCGTTCCTCTCGTTTGTATAAAACCAGAAGTAGGTACTACCAGCCATATGAGATTCCAGCTGTCAATGGCAGGAGGCGAAGGCGTATGCCCAGCTCAGGAGACAAATGCACTAAATCTCTACCTTATGAACCTTATAAGGCCCTCCATGGGCCTCTGCCTCTTTGTCTTCTTAAAGGTAAGAGGGCTCACTCCAAATCTCTGGACTACCTCAATCTAGATAAAATGAACATCAAGGAACCAGCTGACACAGAAGTGCTACAGTACCAGCTTCAACACCTAACCCTGCGAGGGGACCGTGTGTTTGCGAGGAATAATACATGAAGGACTTGCAGAGAGTTTAAAACAGTTTAGGTCAGCGTCTACTTGGCTAGAAAAAACCCACTGTTGTACTCTGTACTTGACTCTTCAAATTATAGATGGTTATATCAGCTAAGTGTTCTTGGAAAATAAGAATTGTTTGAATCAAATTTTGAATACAGGAATGAAATCATAGGTATTGGGGGGGGGAGGGGGATCATTCTAGAGCACGCAACTGCAAAGAAAACAGAGTGTTGACCATTAGTTTGTATAGCTTTTTAGCTAGGAAAAAAGGCTTTGGTACGGTAATTTCATCTTTATGATTCTGACACTGAAATTGGGAATGTTAATCTGCTTGGTTGTTGCTGACTTGGTATGATTCATTAGAAATTTATATCTTAAGTACTCAAGTACTTCTTGAATCTCTGTATTTTACTATAAAATGTAAGTAATGATTTGTTTTATGAAATTTAGAACTTGAACATTGCTGAATTGGACCACTTTTTATTTTTAAATATTGAGTTTAAATATTTTATAACTGGTTTTGCACTGAAAAAACTTAACATTTCAGATTGACAAGAGAATAATCTTTCTTCACTTGCCTCAATAATATTATTGAGCAATGAATTTTTTATTTCCGCATGGAAAGTTATTGATCTCTATGGCTGTAAAATATTTCTTTATAGCATTATTAAGGTGTGTCTTAATAAAATTAAATTTGGGATACAAAGTATTTATTTTACAATGGGTGGGGGGGAAGCTTTTCCAGAAAGTTTCCAATATGAAGTTTTCATAAGTTGAAAAAGTTTCCTTAGTGCTTATTTTCTGATTTAAAATTCATTTGGAACTTTAAAGTGGAAAGGATTCTTTTAATTGTGGACTATAGGCATAATACTGTTTGCATCTGAATTTTCTACAAGTGAATGGAACTTTAATAGAAGATCTCATGATTTCTACTATTGAGTGCTTAAACTAAGTGTGAAATGATACCATTCAGCATGGCATTGGGTCATTCCAGTTTCAGTTCTGTGCCACACAAGTACTCACTGAAATTCCAGTTTCTGGGATTAGTGTAGGAGCCTAAAGTACTTCTACAGTTTTAATGGGTTAATCCTGGATTACTTAACAATTTATGTCAACTGCACTGGTTTAATTTGTTGCTAAAGAAATAATGCCCTGGCTTTAGTAACAAATACAGACAGCTCAACTATTCTTGAATATATTTTGAAAAATAAAGATGTATGTAACTTACCTTTTGTAAACATTTCTATTTCTTTTTTTCTTTTTTGACTCTTGAAGGTGCAATTTATTACTGAATTGGCATTTCTGGCAGCATAGAACTGCTTATTTTAAGTTTTATATTGGGGGCTGTGAGTTTCTTAGGTGTTAGCAATCTTGCATATAGAATAAGAACACCTTTTAATTAATGAGTGGGTCATTCCTGGTGCAATTGTGATTTTTCTTTAGCCAGAATGAAAATGGCAAACTCAATTTAGAGCAGACTAAGTATTAGAAAACCCTAGGAACTCTAAATCAACGTTTATTATACTTTCATTAAGGTAAAACATGTGAAAGAGCCTTGGGGAAGTTGACGCATATCTTACTGAGTTGATCAGATTTCTTGGTGGGCTGGAAATTTCAGCTGCTGTACATTTTAAAGTAAATTGCACCTTTGTAACATATTGTATTGACAAATGATCACTAAGATTAACTATATCTATACAGTCATTAGTTTGACAAGAATTAGAATCCTGTCAGATGCCAAAGAGTTGGGATTTTTACGTTTAATGATTAAACACCGTTATTTATTGATGATTTACCCTGTGGAACTGTATTATTTCTAACTATGAAATAAAAGGGTGATGTAAACACACATTGTTGTGTGGTACTTTAAGCTATTGTCTACCATCAACAGACTACTTGCTGTTCAAGAATTCCCTAAGCACTTATTTTGAGACCCTATTTTTGTAAAACAAAAAAAAACAAAATCCATTTACTTTTGATGCTCATTGACATTACAAGGTAAAGGATGTATTTATAGCAATGATATATATATTCAGTCTATTAGGAAACACAACTGTTTACCTGTGAGACCTGGCCCTGCCCATGTGTCTAAATTTCTTGAGCTAAATAAAAAAATGTAGCTTGTTTTGTTTTGTTTTTTTTTTTTTTTACTTAAAGACAGGTGAAGCACTGTGGCAAAAATGAAGGGGTTAAAAGTATGAGATAATGGTATTTTTTCTATTTTAAAGATATACAATTTTATTTTTATTTTTATTAAAATGTAGTGATTATACATATCTGTGAGGTACAGAGTTGAATTTCAGTTTCAATACATGTATACAATGTGTGATGATCAAATCAGGGTAATTAGCATATTCATCCTTACTAAACTTAATCATTTATTTGTGGTGAAGACATTCTATCTCCTCTCTTCTAACAACTTGATAGCATGCAGTAAATTATCGTGAATTATAAATGCCAAGCTTGACTGAAGATATACAATTTTAAGTTTGGTTTCCTAGAAAGTTTCAAAACTCTAGGTCAGTGATTTTCAAAATGTCTTCATAGAGCCATTGCATTAGTTCAGTCTTTCTCTGTATGCCATGGAATTGTGCTCCTACGGTAGGTAGTATCCTATCAAAACAAACAAGCATAGGATAGGCTGGATCTCTTTTAGCTGGGAAGAAAATCCCTTTTAACATAGTTACTATTTTTAAACTTTTATTTTTTGTTCAGTTTAATATTCCATACTAAAGGCACACTTTTGGCCAGAATATATCTGATAATATTATCTTACAGTAATTGTCCTTAAACATTGTACCACCATATAACTATTTTGTTTTTTAAGTGCCATGTGTTAGAGGCTCAGCTGATGCATAACGTAGCAATAGAAATACAGTTCTTGCCTCAGTCTGAGATGAACTTCTTTTGCTCCTTCGACTTCCGTCTGCCTGCATTTTGCACCCCTGGAAACAGGGCTCCTGTAGTCAGCAGTCAGGAAAGAACAGACTCAATGGGATGGATTAACATGCAGACCTATTCAGAATCCCCAGATCTCTCGACTCCAGCTCAGCTGGACTTCGGTTCCAGACCCATCCTGTCCCGTCCTTTGCTTCTCATGCCCTATAACGCCCATCTGTGGGTCACTGTGTCTTTTTCTTTCCCTGAGATATTTACTTAAATGATTTCAATATTTGGGTTTGGGAAGATTTTAGAAGATTCTAAGTTGACTGTTAAAGGCAAATTGGCCTTTCACTAAAGAAAAATATTCCTTGAAATCTTGAGAAAAGCAACCTGTTTTACTTATTTTTTCTTTCTGACATACTTTTGTCTTGGAAAAGCTTTTATTCCATTACAACCATGGAACATTTTCTAAGGGAACTTTTAAATAACCCTGGCCTAAGTGGTTTGTTCTCAGTCAGACAAACTGGGAGGAGAGCCTGTCGCAGTTTATAAATGGCATAAATGCTCCAGAAGAGTTGGGGTGGAAGAGAGCAAGGATGCACATTACTGTAATGCAGAGAGTACAGCAAGTATTAAGTAAAATTGCCTTTTTAAATAATATAATTTGATTAGAGACATGGATATTGATGAGGGAAGATTGCCTTGGAAGTAGAATAAATGCAATTATAAAGCTAGAAGTGGAGGCTTTCAGCACTTAATGTTGCCCTTCACTTTGTAATGTGCTTCTTTAGGTAAGAATTACAAAATGGACTTCTATATTTTTACATTGGAAAGAAAATTAAGCATTTTTCTTTGAGGAGACTAGAAACCAAAAGAAGAATGGGTTTGATTTGTTATTTTGAGTTTGCAGAGCCTCTAGGACACCTCTTTACTCTAGCTGGGGAAGATGTTGAATCTCTATTCTTGCTGTTGTGAAATGACTTTGCACAAGTTTTTTTTTTTTTTTTTTTTTTGTCTTTTTTACTGACCGGTAACGGGATCGCAACCCTCGGTGTTGCTCCTGCACCGCGCTCAGCCAGTGAGTGGGAACCGGTCTCCACACGGGATCCAAACCCTCGGCGGGAGCACCGCTGCGCTCTCAAGCAGCACACTTTCCAGTGCGCCACCGGGCCGGCCCTGCACAAGGTTTTATTAAATGGTTTCAGAGAAAAAGTCTGAAACCAAATCTGAACTCGGCCACCCCTGATCTTGGGGTGGTGTTTGATGTACAGATTTATGGGAGAGCACAGGATGAAAAAGGAAACTCAGCATCTACTGGAATGGAAAGAGAGTAGCCACACGGTGGAATCCTTAAGTGATCCTGCTGGGGTCGCTTCAAGAAAGAACAGCTTTGATATATTTGCTTTTGCAGAAAGCTGGTGGTACTTTCAAAGTTTCTTCTGAATGCTCTCCAGAAAGGATTCTCACTGTGTGCCTGTAGATAGAGGTGGGAAGGCTGGGCCCATGATGTTGACCTTTAGCCTGGTTGACCAGGAAGAGTATTCTTCACCACACTGTTATATAAAGTCATTACACAGGGAAATATGTATTTGGAAGACTTTGAATCCTCTATCCCTGGCCTAGTGCTTCAGCTGGGGAAAGGAATTTATGTGCTAAGAAGTTCTTGAACTTAACGAAATTAAGATTTTGGCTAGGGGGTTGGAGCTGGGATAGCAAATACTGAGCACAGTCTCTCTTAGAGTCCAGGTGTGGCCTCGTTATCTTTCTTAACCTAGCCTGAGGCAGCTGCTACAAATTGATCAGCATTACACAGGGGATAAAAGATGTTTGCCCACAACAACTCCAGACCCCCTTCAATGGGTTACAGTGTCAATTGAGAAATGGTCTGAACATTGAGTAGCGGACCATTTGGGGCCCTGTCCTCTAATCAGAGAACAGGAGAGAATGGTCCCACTGTCATCACCCACAGGCATTTACTGAGCATATGTAGGCACTATGGGGACAGAAGTGTTTAAGACAGTTTTCATCTTCAAGGACATGCCTGTTATTGGGAGAAGTGGGTGACATAGCATAAGACTCATGCCAAGTGAGTGTTCTGTAGAATAAATAGCAATTTAAGAGAGGGGAGCTTAAATCCTATGGGGCTGAAATCTGAGAAGAATCCTGTTCATTTTTCTCTCAGTAGCCCAGCCAGTTTATTGGATGTGCACACTTAATATTTCTTTTCTTTTCTTTTCTTTTTTTTTTTTTTGTGACCGGTAAGGGGATTGTAACCCTTGGCTTGGTGTCACCCACACCGCACTCAGCCAATGAGCGCACCGGCCATCCCTATATAGGATCGGAACCTGCGGCCTTGGCGCTCCGAGCGCCGCTGTGCTCCCAGCGCCGCACTCTCCCGAGTGAGCCACGGGGTCGGCCCTCACTTAATATTTCTGATTGGTATAACGTAAAGTACAAATGTAAAAATATTTTTCTCAAAAGTGCCTTCATAAGGAAGTCTGGGGAGATGAAAAATATGGGGAAAGCAAAATCTTGACAAAATAAGAGAATCTGAGAAGGATCAAGGCATATCAACAATGTCCACCTGTCACCTTGGTAGTCTGCTAAGATGATCTGACCCACTTTCTAGGAGAAGAGTTAAGATGAGTGATAGTTAAAAAACTGAAGCATTGGGGCTGGGGGTCAGGAAAGATGAGAGCTATGAGGGAATAAATAAGTAAATGGATATTGTTGTGATTGTTTTTCCTTTGTACTGTCCTGCCCTCCATGCTGGGGTGGGGTGGACTGAAGGTGACACAGAGAGAAGGTTTACTCTAATTATTTAGGTTCAGGAGCACATTTAAAAATATATTGTTAATAAAATTTGTGTAAGAAATGAAATTATATGCCAAGTGATTTGCTGAAGAAGTTCTCTAATATAGATCATCTTTTGAAATGATCAGCTAGAACCCACGATTAGTTGGTAGGTTTCTGTATTTTACTTTCTAGTATTTATAAAATTTGAGTCTTGTTATTTTTTCATGTTTCACATATATTTTTAGTATCATGCTCATTGAATAAGAAATTAATGAAGTTATAATACAAATTTTTAAGGGATTAGAATATCTATAGGATTAAAATACTGTTTTGTTGTGGGCCGCATAAGGTAATCCACTCAGCTCAAAAAGGTATTCATTAAATATGAAAAACTGAATTTTTTAAAAGGTGATGGGTCATGTTATATTACATTTGTTATAACATTGCCTAACTAGTTTTTTTTTTTCCTATCAGAAATTCATTTCTTAAATGTTGCCAGGATAAGCCCTCAAAGTGAAGCAGGTGGGGATTGTGTTTTGTGATTTTTTTTCCTTCATAGTTCCTTCATATCTTGATTTTTTTTTTTATTTTGTTTTTTTTGAGGAACCTTTTGACTAGGATAGAGATACCAGAGAATAAACAATTGAAAGCGTGAGTTTCCCCACCGGGCCATGTCACTCTGTATAGAAGCCATGGGAAATGCTTCAAATGATAATGGTTCCTAATTTAAGAGAAAAATTGTAAGAGCTACCTTTCTTGTGTTATGCTAGATATATAGTCCAGCTAGTAATGAGAGAAGATTCCTTTGTATATTGTCAACCAGATGTAGTGATACTAGAAGGCTACAAGTGGAATGCTCAGGGAGCTGTGATGGAATTTGTATAAAAATGTATAAAGACAAACACATCCTTGTTTGAAATGGAACCACTAAGACCAAACTGTTACAATTTATCTGTAGGAATTGATGCTCCTTAAAATCCATGGATTCAACCTTTATTCATCCACCAAATATTTACCGTGATATATATCATTGTGTGCCAGCCTCAGTGATATCATGGGAATATGTGGGGAGTAAGACACAGAAGTCACAGCCAAGAGCAAACGCTTATTCATTAAAATAAGTGCTTCTCATAAACATTGATATAAGATTTTTTTGAGTACCCACAGGAGAAAGTTCCTAATTCTACCTTACTTGTGGGGAAAGTTTCACCAGGGAAGCTATGCTTGAGACTGGAGGGTGAAGACTTTGTCAGGTAGGTAGGAAGGGTGAGGGCCTCCCAGACAGAAAAGAATGCATATATGGGAATATAAAACTGGAAAAGGCCTCAGAGTTCATTTATTCTACTTTTCCTACTGTCCAAACCAACTTGGGCATGTGTTTCACATATATTTCTAAAAACCCCCAGGAAAGAAAATCATGCTGAGTCATTACCGTAGTTTGACC